GGGACAGCCAGCGCTGGGGGAGCCCGCGGGGAGGGGCGGGGCAACGCAACAGGGACTGACGGGCAGGACTCTGGGCAGATGGACAGCTCCTCCAGCCCTCTCGTTCCCTTTGGGCGTCAGAGAGTTGGTCCCCAGGAAGCCAATGGGAGAAGGAGAAGCAGCTCATCCCTGCGAGTTCCAATCAGGGCGGGGCTTGTTTTCCTCCAGCCTCAAGGCTCCCAGACCGCCCCTCCTGGGTACCGTTTGCCCTGGTGGTTGCCAGGGAAACCGCTTACTATTTTTACGCATTCTCTAGCTGCCAAGGCTGCAGAAACGCTCTTACGTGGCTGGTCCAGGAGCCACCCTGGAAACAGTGCTCGAGCCGGCGCTCCCCGAGACCTTGGGGTGGGGAGCTGCAGCTCTGACGCCCCGGGGCAGGGGGCAGTGTTCCCACTGACGTCCCCAGTGTGGGGTGGGAGGTGGCTGACAAAGAAGGGGGGCGCGGAAGCGCCAGTCGCCTCACGCATTCCTTCCTTCATCGCTTGTTCATCATCCATTCATTCATTTCATCAAACACAGAAGGTGCTGGGCATTGTGCCAGGTGGTGGGAATAGAGCCGTGAACACGGAAAGTGCCTCGCAGCCTGTGGAGAGACGGACGAATAAAAACACAATTTCAGGGCAGGGGGATCGTGCTACCCCGGGGTGTGCCCATCTTGGCGGGGGTTCGGGAAGCACCTTTAATGAGGTGAGATCTAAGTCCAGATGGGGATGTGTGGGTAATGTCGGCAGGAAGGAAGAGGTTCCAGGGAGAGGGAACGGCATGCACACGGCCCAGGAGAGACTCTGAGCATGGAACCTTCTGGAACTGACGAGGTGGGCCAACCCAGGGGACTGGAAAGCTGGGCTGAGGCTCAGACCACCAGGGGGGTGGGCTAGGACACGCTGCACCACAGTGGGCACCCCCGGGCCTCTGGCAGCAAGCCTGCAGGCCAGGCAGGGAGGAGCCGCAGGTCTCCACTGCACTCTGGGACTGGCGGGGCCCTCAGGGCATCTGGGGAGCTAGAGACTCTGAGACTGTAGGAGAGAGCCGTTCATCATGATTGTCAGGGGGCTGGGTTAATGCTCTCGGGGTCCCCGGCCAGGTGTGAGGTGTTAGGGGATGGGAAGGGAAGGAGCCCTGTCCCAGGCCACCCTGACTTCCTCCGAACCCCGGACTGTTGCCAAGACTCTGGGACATCCCGAAACGCTTTCTGCTGACCTGTGTCCGCACACATACTGGGAGTCCCCGGTGCCATCAGTCCAGGTGGGGACGGTGGGATGGAGGAGATGGGGGAGAACTGAAGGGATCAAGGGTGTGCTAGGCATAGTACATACCTGCTCTCACCTCGTCCTGGGAACAGCCCCTGAAATGGGTGTCTTCACCTCGTTCTAAAGGCTAGGAGGAGCCCCAGTGGCACAGTGGTTAAGCATTTGGCTGCTAACCAAAAGGTTGGCAGTTCGAATCGACCAGCTGCTCCTTGGAAACCCTATGGGGCAGTTCTACTCTGTCCTATAGGGTTGCTGAGTCGGAATCGACTCAATGGTAGCAGGTTTGGGTTTTTTGGTTTTTAAAGGTTAGGAAACTGAGGCTGAGAGAAGCCAAGTAACGTCTCTGGGGTCTGCAGGTAGTAAGAGGTGAAACCCAGATTCAAACCAGCTTGATCTGACTCGGAAACCTGTGCTCTCGCCACAAGACAGGTGTGTTTACTGAGCACCTGTGTGTGGCCTGCAGGTACAAAGACAAGATACAGTCTCTTTTGTGAGGCTGGAATGAGGCAGCGTGAGAGGGAAGAGTGGCCGACCGGACTTTCCCTAAATGGCCATGGCAACGTTTCCAGGCCCGCGTGCCCCTTGGCTGAGTGGGACTTGTGGCCCTTGACGAATAGAAGGGACACTGCTGACTTCAGAGACCGGGTCATACAGGAGATGCAGCTCCCCCCAGCCCTCTCTGTCTGCGCACTCATCCTCAGGACCCTGCTGCCATGCTGTGAGAAGACACACAGGGAGAGGAACGGAAGCTCCTCACAGACAGCCAGCATCACCCACCAGAAATGCGAGTCAACCAGCCTTCGTGTGACTCCAGCCCCCAGCCTCAAAGCCGTCCAATCCCACTAACATACAGGATCTCTGAGCATAAGTATGGGGGTGATTTGTTACACAGGGGGCATCAGCGGTACAGTGGTAGAATTCTTGCCTTCCGTGCGGGAGACCCTGGTTTGATTCCTAGCTAATGCACCTCACGTGCAGCCACCACCCATCTGTCAGTGGAGGCTTTCACGTTGCTATGATGCTGAACAGGTTTCAGTAGAGCTTCCAGACTAAGATGAGCTAGGAAGAAAGGCCTGGCTTTCTACTTCTGAAAATAAGCCAGTGAAAACCCTGTGGATCACAACGGTCTGATCCCGTCACCCATGGGGATGGCGCAGAACTGGTCAGCGTTTTGTTCTCTTGTGCACAGGGTTGCGCTGAGTTGGGGACTGACTAGATGGCAGGTAACAAGTTGTTACATAGCCACAGTAACAGAAACAAGGACTTTGTGACCTGCTCACTGCTGCGCAAATGTACGATGTTATTAGTAAACCTCCGTTTGGTATAAGGGGATTGTGTTGGTATCTGAGGAGGTCAACTTGTGTCTGAGCCTGGGTTCTCCCCCAAGCAGAGACTGGGGCAGGTGTTCGCGTGCAGGCACACACATTTGGAAAGTGACCCATGAGACCAGGGGTAGGAGGATGGGAGGAATGAAGGCGGGAAGGAGGCTTGGCCAACCCAGGGGTGGGCTCTTGAGCTGCTCACTGCAGACCCTCTGAGAAGCCTTGGGGTGTGGGGAGGATTTGTCCACTGCCCCGGGCCCCTAGTTATCCAGGGTTGGCCAGGGAGTGTTAACTCTTGTTTGCAGGCTGGTGAGTGCCCAGAATGGTAACTCCGTCTGCAGGCTGGTGAGCGCCTAGAACGGCAACTGTTTGCAGGCTGGTGCGTGCCCAGGATGGTCGGCAAGCAGCCCACTTGCAGAGGAGCCCCAGGGAAGAAAGCTGAATCGGGTACTGTGGTGGTTAATTTTAAGTGGCAGCTTGGCTAGGCTACGGTTCCCAGTGGTTTTGCCAAACACTAGACTAGTTGCTGTTCCATAACGTAATTGAATGCAGTGTAATGTAATCACTCTCCATAATGTAATTTAATGGGGTGTAATCAGTTGAAAGGGGAGTTCCCGAGGGTATGGTCTGTCTTCAGATAAATATTTTGATAGAACTCTCAACTCTGCCCTCTTCCCATAAAACGGGCACTGAGACTATAGGTGTGCTGGGCTGAGGGGCTGTGAAATGGGGCATAAAAGACGACCATCACAAGGCAGCATGAGACAAGTCTCTGGGCAGTGATTCCCTGGGACCCCCAGGAGGAGGCTGCAGGAGGAACTTCTTCCTGGATGGGAGGGAATGATCTTGGTGGGTGTGGGGGGCTGCGCTCTGGGCCTGGCTCACATCAGCCTCTAAGAAGCATCTCAGGAGGCTGGCAGTGCCCTGGTATCACACTTGTTAGAGTTGGGGCTGAACAGCAGCCTCTTGAAGGAAGCCAGTGTAGACACTGGTGGTGCAGAGAGTTAACACTCGGCCGGTAACCAAAAGGTTGGCTGTTTGAGTCCACCCAGAGGGGCCTCGGAAGAAAGGCCTAGCGATCTACTTCTGAAAGTTCAACCATTGAAAACCCTACGGAGCACAGTTGTACTCTGACACACATGGAGGCGCAATGAGTTGGGGGCAACTCAACAGCAACTGGTTTGGTTTTAATGTAGAGGCCTAGGGGGCTTTATTCAGACTCTTAGCTTTTCTCCGGAAAGCTAGCGATGTGGTGAGAAAACCCCCTGGCACCGGTGCCTGAGGGGTGAGACTTCTGAGTCTGGAGGTCTTCAGTCCAGGATCCTGGAAGGTTGGGAGAAGGCAGGGACCTGGGCCAGGTGAGCTCTGTATGACCCCGCTCTGGGGCCCAGGGTTTCTGGTCAGGCCCCTCTGGTGTGCTCTTGTACAGGCCTGTCAACCCTGTTATCTACAGCTTCCTGCCACCCCTCTGGGACATCTGCTAGTCAGTGGTCCATTTTAAAGACTTTTCAATGTTCCAAATGGAGAGGTGGGCGCCACGCTCCAGGGCCTTGTTTCCTCCCGTTAGGTCTCTTCTCCGTTACGGCAGAGGAGATGTGGCGACAAGCTACCTGCAAGTGGGGAGAGGGGACCAGGGCTGGCAACACTGAGGAGGGGGTTACTAATCAGCATTGTGGGGTCCAGAAACATGAAGCAGAAGGAGCTGTTTCCCTAAGAGAAGTGTAGGAAGGGCTGCACCTCAGCAGGAGGAACTTAGATTTGAGGCAGAACTTCACAAATTACACCAACAATCAGCACCACCCAACACAGTGAGCACCAGCTGAAAGCCAGGCATTGAGCCTCCACCTGAGATACCGAACTTGAACTTGTGTGGTGATGGATGAAGAACCCAACCAACCCCCTTCCGCTCTCCCATCACCCTTCCTTCAGCCTGTTCTCCTTCTCAGCTCCTTTCTTCTTCATCCCATCCATTAATGGGCCTCTACATCTCACACACTTTGGACATGTTGGCAGGAGGGACCAGTCCCTGGAGAAGGACATCACGCTTGGGAAAGTACAGGGTCAGCGAGAAAGAAAGAGGAAGACCCTCAATGAGATGGACTGACACAGTGGCTGCAACGATGGGCTCAAGCATAACCGCCGTGAGGATGGCGCGGGACCGGGCGGTGTTTTGTTCTGTTGTACTGTACGTTCTGTAGTCGCTGCGAGTCGGAACCAACTCGACCGCCCCTAACAACAACGACATAAAGAAATAAAGGCCACTCATAATTTGACGACACAGAAACCATGCCGGCATTCGGGGGGCCTCCCCTTCTGGCCAGGACAGGGATATATCACCACCCTGGCTGGTGTGCAGGCAGGTCACCACGGGGATAGAAAACTTGACTGTGACAATAAAAAACCATCATGGCTCCAGGTTAAACATGTTTTATTCAGATCCGCGCGACTCAGAGGCTTCAGGAAGCAGATTTTGCAGGTTGACACCTCAGTGCCCCTTGCCTCACCCTCCCAAGACCCCGAGCCTGTGGACTGACATCAGAACTCATCCTTTATGTCGAAATGGGGCTGGTCTTCCGGCTTGAAGTCCAGGTTGGGACTACCGTCCTCGTTCAGAATCCTGCGGGCTGTGTAGCCGACGATGGGGTATTTGGCCTTGTACACTCTGGTGAAGACGTCATCCAGGGACTCCAGCTCCTTGGCCGTGAGCCCCGTCTAGGGGAGAAAAGCCCGAGACACACGGGTGGTGTGAGTGACCTGTGCTGGGCACTGACCTCCCTCCATCCCCGCATGGCCCTCCTCACACCCTCAACGCAAGAGCAAAGCAGGTAACGGACCACTGACTTTCCGAGACCGTCCTGAGCGGGGAGGGAAGGGAAGAGCAGCGGCTTTCATCAGTCTTCAAGGCTCAGAGCACACCCATGGGGGTGGCCTGCCGCAGCCGTGTCCGCCCGCCCTCCTGGCTCATCCCACCTGCTCTGGACATGCCTCCCACTACACGCTGACATGACTTTCCCTTCTTATTTCCGTTCTGTGATGCTGTGGTGAGAATCTGACCAGCTCTGCCTAGTGCTGAGCGCAGCTGAAGCACATGTGGCCTGTCTGCTGGGAAGAGAGCCAGAAATGGTTGTCTTCGACACTGTTTTTCCTTCAGAGGCTCGTGAACATAGAGGGAGACCCTGCTTCGCCAACCTAAGTCATCCACTGACGGTCAGCAAACCTGCAAGAGGCTGAGGGGTGGCGTCATCATCTGCTGCTGGGGGCTGGGGCCAAACTGTGAAGATCACTGAGTTGGGTGCCAAGTTCACAAGTGACTGGACTTGGCTCTGTAGGCCATGGGGAGCCGTGGAAGGGTTCTGAATAGGAACGGCATAGTAGGATTTCTATTTCGAGAAAATGGTTGGCGCCCCACTGAGCGGACTGGAGTAGAAACAGGCTAGTTACGAAGCTTTGCCCGGAGGTGGAGAAGGCCGTGGCCGAGGGGAGGGACAGTGGCTTGCAGACAATGGCTCACAATGTCATGGGTGAGGTCTGCAGGGTCCAGGGACATCTTGGCCACTCCTCTGGTGGAGTCTTTCCCGGTCAAGGCGTTGTAGGGGGCTCCTCTCCCGTAGAACTCTGTGTGGGGAGGAAGAAGACGAGGTAAACGTGAACCTGCATGCAGAGTAGCCAGGGGCCTGCAAACCGGGGTGGGGGCTCCCAAGACCCAAACAGTCCTAAAAGACTCCAGGCCCAAGGAGCAGGAGAGCAGCGAGGGAGGGCATGAAGTACACTAACCCGCCCCCCATCCAGCAGTTTGGTTTCCACTAATTCAGAACATGGAATAATTCACACATGCTGGGCGGACAGCTGAGCTTTAGAAAATACAGGATGTAGACAGTTTCTTAAAACTATTAAAAATGAAGCAATAAAAATGCTTGATCTTCTTAAATTTTGGTAGAAGCCAAGTCTATGTCCCAGTGTTTGGTATCAAATCAAATGTAAGCCATTGCAATAACTACCTTCATGATACCATTTGCAGTTACAATTAGGAAACCATTAAAGAGCAATAAAATACCCCGTGATCTTCTACGAGGCTGATTCTTTGCTAAGTAACACTTTTTTTGAGGTATATATATATACGCGTGTGTGTGTGTATATATAAAGGTATAAAATATATATATATAGTTTTTTTTTAATGGAGCCCTGGTGGCGCAGTGGTTAAGAGCTCGGCTGCTAACCAAAAGGCGGCAGTTCGAATCCACCAGCTGCTCCTTGGAAACCCAAGGGGCAGTTCTACTCTGTCCTATAGGGTTGCTATGAGTCAGAATCAACTTGACCCCAATGGGTTTATTTTTATTTTGTCATATCACTCAAGAGTATACTTGATCACCAATACATAATTTTCTAACAGTTTAAATTCTGTAACAGAGAACAGATGGATACAGCCCAGGCCGAGTTACTCAGCCTTCTTCAAAAGCACCCTGACTGCCTAAAGGAGTTGGTGTCAGCTGCCTTAAGTCGATTTCCACTCCTAACGACCCCACGAGACAGCGGAACTGCCCCACAGGGTTTGTCGACTGTAATCGTCAGAGGGGCAGACCAGCAGGTCTTTCTCCCAGGGGGTGGCTGGGTGGGTTCAAACCACTACCCTTTGGGTTAACAGCCTAGCACTTAACCATTTACACCACCAGGATCCTACCTAAAGGAGTAACATGTCTTTTCTCACGGCTTCAGCGAGGGTAAATTATCAAGTTCGGATTGGATTCTACAGGCAGTGGGGAGCCTAGAGGCTGTGGCATGAGGGCACGGCATCGTTAGAAAAAAACTGCTAAAGGAAAACGCTGACAAAGATTGTCGACTCAACTTGGTCATTTAAGACGGAAGGAAAAGACCTTGCCCAATGTCCCCTCCCGTCCCTTGCCCCTCAGTCTCCACTCGGGCTCCTCAGCTCCCCAGAAAGAAAGATTCAAAGCTGAGCTACCTACCCTTTCCGGAAGTGACATCAAACACCACACCCTTCACTGCCATGTAGATGGGCTGACCGTCCTAGAAAGCAGGGGAGAAGCTGTGAATAGGAAGCAAAGAGCCCAGCTCTTCCCAAGCAGGTTAGTAAAATCGGTTTCCATCTTGAGTGTGCAAAGAGCAGTAGCTAAAGTTACAAAACCAAAAACAGAAAAGTTGCTGTTGATTCTGACTCATGGCAACCCCATGTGTTACAGAGCAGAACTGTGCTCCGTAGAGTTTTCATGGCTGTGACCTTTCAGAAGCAGATCACCAGGCTTGTTTTCCGAGGTGCCTCTGGGTAGGCTTGAACCACCCACCTTTTGGTTAGTGGCAAAGCATTTAACCATCTGTGCCACCCAGGCACTCCTAAAGTTACAGAACAGCGCTCGGTAAAGCCAGGTCCTCACAAAAACTTGGAAAAGTACTCAAGTACTGTGACAAATGCCTGACAATCCCTCCTTTAAAAAGAAAATAAAAATCTGAAAAGACTATTGCATGATAAATCCTTTAGCTTATTCCAAATCTCCTCTCCCTTCATCAGTGTACATGCATGGATGTGATTAGTGCAAACGACTTATTTTATATTCTGCTTCTCATAGGTGACGTTACTTTATACAAATGCTCCCAGGTACCGAAAGAGTCAACATGGCTATCTTTTCAACAGTTACACGGAAACCCACCTTACTTTGTAACACTGTCTGCCTGTTTATTTAGCTGTTCTTCTATCTGGGGTATTTGGGTTGTTTCTGATCCTCAGAACTATAAACGGCAGCATTATGAATACCTTTCTACAAATTACTTTCTAATTGGGTGAGCTGTTTCCTCGAGTCCTATTTCAGTATATGGAATTCCTGGTCAGTATATGAACAATAACTTTTTAATATTTTACCACCTGACCTTCAAAAAGATTAAACGATTTACAGTACTACAAATATGCAAACAATACTGTTTCCCCACAGTTCTACTAACAATGGGTTTTATATTTGATTTATTTTTGCTATTTAAAAAAACAAAACAAACCTGTCGTGGTAAATTCAATTCCGACTCATGACGATCCCATGTGTTACAGAGTTGAACTGCCCCATACGGTCTTCTTGGCTGTAATCTTTATGGCAGCGGATTGCCAGGCCTTTCTTCCACGGCACCGCTGGGTAGGTTCGAACTGCTGACCTTTAGGTTAGTAGTACAGCGCCAACTATCTGCACCCCCTAAGAACCCTGTTTTTGCTGTATTAACAGGTGTGAAGTGGGACCTTAGCATGCCCTACCCCTCCCCAAAGCTGCTGTTACTATAACCTAAAGAGACAAATAAACACAAAAGCAGACAGCATGGAGTTTTTAACTTCCCTCAGGTCCAGGCTTGGGCTGGACACTCCTCAGCACCAGGTCTTCCCTTTGTCCCAACCCCGTTGGGGTGCAGGGGACACCAGCCAGGTGGCTCACAGGCCAGGGTTAGGGTGGGGGCTGCTGCTGGGCCTGCAGGAACCTCAGGCTCTCCAAGAATATGCTGTTGGTATTCTCTTGGTGGGGGGTCGGGTGGGAGTGGGGGTGGGGACTTAATAGTTCTTGACCTCTTGGAGCTCACAGTCAAGTGTCTTCATGACTGGATTAGCAGAAGGGAAATTAAGGCTCAGAAAAGTTAAGCAGCTTGCCCAAGGCAACACACCCCCATCCCTTAATTTCTCTGGCCTGTTTCTCTAGCTGTTAAATGGGAATAACACCAACCTACCTTTGAAGAGGGAGTCCCTGGTGGTGCAAATGGTTAATACACTCAGCTGCTAACTGTAAGGCTGGCAGTTCAAGTCCACCCAGAGATGCTTCGGACAAAAGGCCTGGCAATCTACTTCTGAAAAATCAATCATTGAAAACGTTATGGAGCACGATTCTACTCTGACCCACGTGGGGTCACCAGAGTCACAGTCGACTTGAAGGCAACTGGTGCTGGTACCTGTCAGGAATGCTGAGCGTCTAGCAGGCATACAGAAGGAGCTCAGTAGTGGCTGGTTATTATTATTATTCCCTAACTGGCTCCCAAGTCTACTCCCCAGAACTTCTGCCGACTTTACAGACAAGTGCTCCACCTCATCTATCAAGGGTTATTTTATTTTATAATAATACTTCATTGCGTTTTTGGTGAAGGTTTACACAGCAGTTTAGTTTCCCACTCAACCATTTCTACACAAGCTGTTCAGTGACATTGGTTACATTCTTCACAATGTGTGAACATTCTCAGTATTTCTGTTGTTTCCATTAATTTAGTTTCCTTGCCCCCTTACATTCTCATCTTTGTTTCAAAATAATTATTAACTGTTTAGTCTCATATAGGTGATGTTTTAAAAGGAGCACAGTACTTAGGGGGGATATTCATTATTTTTTGAGCCAATTTGTTATTTAGCTACACAGTGACCTCAGGGGTTAGTTTTGGTTCAAGGTTTGAAGAGTATCTCAGAACAATAGTCTCAGGAAGTCCTCCAGTCTCAATCAGTCCAACAGGTCTGTTTTTGGGTTTGTTTTTTTTTTTCTTTAAAGGAATTTGAGGTTCTGTTCTACACTTTTCTCCCAGTCTATCAGGGTCCATCTATGGTGGCCCTGATCAGAATGGTTGGTAGTGGCAGCTGGGCACCATCTAGTTCTTCTGGTCTCAGGGAAGAAGAGGCCGTGGCTCATGTAGGCTGTTAGCCCTGTAGACTGGTTTCTTCATTGAGGCTTTGGTTTCCTTCTTTCTCTTTTGCTCCAGGCAAGTGGAGACCAATAGCTGTATCTTGGATGGCCACTCAGAAGCTTTTAAGACCCCAGATACTACTCACCAAACCAGGATATAGAACATACACTTTATGAACTCTGTTATCCCAATTGGCCGAGATGTCCCATGAGACTATGGTCCTAATCTCAAGGGTTATTTTGGATGGCACTGCTTTACTCCTGCAGAGCGCGTGCTTCTGGTGATGATTTACTGCTTCTCCTCCACAGGAATTACCTGGTCCTCTGCTTTGACTGCTTATCAAGTGGGGCTACGCGTTTACATCAATTTTGAGAAATATACTGCAGTTATGATTTTATCTCTGATATTTTGTCGTATTTTCCATTCTTTTGCTCTTCCTTTGACATTCATCCCTCTTCTGTGCAGTCATACAAACACGACACTCACCTACAAAAGACAGACACGTCTCATCGCTGAGCAGACTGAACGTTTCTTCAACAGTTACGTGTCTGTCTCCCGAGTGAGCCATGCGCTGAAGGTGCAGGCCTAAGAGGAAGTCACGGCAAAAGGGCAGAAGGGAATGCTCTGCGCCTGCTGGGGCGTCTGTTACCCAAGCATTCCACAGGCTCCGAAGGGGAAGGGCTGTACCAGTTAAACCCCAGTATGCTATGGGCAAGAGTGAGCTCACATCACGTGGAGATGGACAGCTACGGACGGGGCCTGCAGGCAGGGACTGTCAGGCCTGGGAAATGGAGAAGGAGGAGGGTGGGTGGCAGCATCAGGAGCATACATGCAGACTCAGGAACACGAGACATGGTACAGACATGCTCTAAGCCCAGCCCCCAGGAAGGCCACAGGGGGAGATCTTTTGGGACTTAGAGTTGAATGTATGTAAATAGATGCAACACTTTTTATCTGTTTATGACCAGGTCAGAAAATCAGCAGGAGGGCTGCCTTCTCTTAAGAGATCAAAAGAGGAACCTTCTGGTGTCACACACAAGCTTCAGAGTCATACAGGCCTGGGTTCGAGCCACACATATGAGCTGTGTTGCCTTGGGCAAATTGACTTAACTTCTCTGAGCCTGTTTTTTTCTCTGTAATTGTTGCTAGCAGCCATTGAATTAGTCCCCAATTCATAGAGATCCCATGCACAATGGGATCAAACCACTGTGATCCATAGGGTTTTCACTGGCTGATTTTCAGAAGTGCAATGCCAGGCCTTTCTTCTGAGGCACTTCTGGGTGGACTCGAACCTCTAGTCTTTTGGTTAGCAGCAGAGTGTTTTTACCATTTGCACGACCCAGGGACTCCATACATGGTACTTACTGTCCTTAGTTTTTATAATGAACCTTGTGAGGAAGCTTTTACTATACCCATTTAGTAGATGAAAAAACTGAGGCTTAGGATTTAAATAATCTTGCCAGAAATTTCTGTGCTAGTGAGTAAAAAGCCAGGATTCAGACTCATGCCCGTCTGATTCTACATCCCAATTCTTCCTCACTGAAAACCTGAATCACTCTTTGACTTAAAAATTGTAAACCGACAGTAAAACCCTGCTATAATAACAGGTCACGGAACAAGGCTAAAACCACCGAAGAAGGTGCACCATCAGTGTCTCCACGTACAAGGCCAGTTTTGACCAGAACTTAGGAAAACAAGGGTCACAGAACAGCACCTAGAACGTATTTTACCTTCTTGCCCTATTTTCACTTTTTGTTCAACATGCTTACTCTGTGATCTATACGTCCTCTGTGTGAGACGTCTTCAAAATGACCTCCTCATACAACCAGGGGCGGATTATCCAATAGGCAGGGTAAGCACAGCGCCTACCTTGCTTACCAGATCATCTGTAATGAACCATGACACATTTTTTCACCAGATCAAAGATTCTGCTTCGAGGTATGGCTGGCATCTGTCTCTCTCCCAACCCCACAGCACGTTCCTACAGAATCAAAGCCTCTTGTCAAATTTACAATCCCTGACAGGGGCGGATGACCAGTAAGCAAGGTAAGCACAGGCTTACTTGTGCTTACTTACTAATATGTAGTGAACAGTGTCACACAGATTTCACCAAATCTTTAATGTGAAATTGTTCACTACAGATGATCTGGTAAGCAAGGTAAACACCATGCTTACCTTGCCTATTGGCTAATCCAGCCCTATATACAACCCTTGGGGTCCCTGGGTGGTGCAAATGGTTAGCACGCTCGGCTCTAACCTAAAGACTGGAGGTTTCAGTCCACTCAGAGGTGCCTCAGAAAAAAGGCCTGGCAATCTACTTCCAAAACTTCAGCCACTAAAAAACCTACGGAGCAGTCCAGAAGTCAGAATCCACTCCACAGCACCTGGCCTGGTTTTGGAATACAACCTGTCATGGACTGAATTATGTCCCCCAAAAAATGTGCGTACCAACTTGGCTGGGCAATGATTCCCAGTATTGTGTGGTCTTCCTCCATTTCGTGATCGTGAT